CTATACAGAGATGATTAGAGTGAAGCAGCCAGCCAGTTACAAAAAGTTTACTAATTATGTCTATTTTTTGCAAAAAATGTCGAATTCCCTCTTCCACTCCCTTCCCCTCCCCATGTAAATTTTGCGTACTTATTCATCAATTTTGAAATTTTTTGGATTTTGCAGAATTTCCCATGGAGTGATACGAACCCGGAACGTGTCAATTTTCCATGGAATCCGTTTGGTGCCGGATCACCTTATGCAGGATTACAACAAGCTATTAATCAAAATGCTGCAAAAAGAGTGGCTGCTGCATTAGCTGCAGTTCGAGGCCCACGACAGGTGCGCCAGCGACGTGCGTATTTGCCCTTCCCTCAAGTGCCTAATTTATGTGCTTCATAAAAAAAAGTTATACGTGAACGTGAACAAGCAAAGAAAGGACCAGGTCCTTTGACTCCAGTCAGTAATTTGATCAGAATTTTTTCAAGGATTTTTCCTGTGGAAAATTGTTGTAAGAGTTGGGAAGGAGGGAGCTACTCTTAGCTATTGTTCTTCAAAAGATGATATTGATTTTTTGTTAAATAACACTCCAAAAACAAATTATTCTAGAAACAGCGAAATAACTAAAAGTTACAGCATAAAAGTTTGTCGTAAATACATTGAACAGACCAGTGAATACTACCTGGGAGTATGTAGTTCGGGATAGAAAGACCCAGCATAGCTGCGCACAGCGCATGAGAGTATTCCAGTAACATTACAAATATGAAACCCCTTGATGGTTGTCTGGGCAATTTTGCTGTTTCCTGGTATAGATGCATAATTTTACATTTGTTTCATTTTGAAGACCTTGTACAACCGAGTTTTATGAGTTGTTACACATTAGTAACATCATAGAATAGCCCTAAATACCTTGATTATTTTGTTAATAACATTATGCATTTAACGATGGCGCACTTACCTCCAAAAAAAAAAAAAATGATTTTCTACTTCCTAATTTAGTTAGAGTTATTTAAAATTGTCATATTTGGGCGTTGGTTTTCAATCTAATTCATCAATTCCTAGCGAAAATCGTTGACTGCTTTTTGCACTTTTCTCATTTGTTTACCTATTTCCATTCGGCTGCCGACAAGCCGCGGGTATCACTTATTACTGAGTGCAAAAAAAAAAAATAAACGAATATCACGGGCGATCTTCGAGAAATGGGGGCAAAAACGTCGAAACAAATGGTTTGTACTAACTGCATACATGCGGGTCAGGGTCGAAGGACTTGACAAAGCTGCACCGACCGTGGAATGACCCAGTAAAATCACTAACATGGGATATCCACAGCGATTGCCCCGGTGATTTTGGTATTCCTGGTACTTTCGTCGGCATTAAAGCATTATTTTCCCTTCGCCTTCCCTTCGTTGGATATCTCCAAAGTACATCATTGATGCATGTTGAAGATATTTGCGTTTGTCAAAACTGTTGTAATAAAGATTTCCTCGTTCGGAGACTGCTTGTTATTAACTGAAATTCCAATGTTTCACTTAAAAAAAGAATAAAATTTTGATTCTTGACATTCAAAAATGCGAAAAAAAAAAAGAGAAAAAAGGTTGCTGCACGGAGTGGGATTCGAACCCACGCATCGATAACGATACCAGAACGCCCAATCGATGACGCACTGCGAACTCGTGCGAAGCATATGATGCTTGAGTCTGGCGCCTTAGACCACTCGGCCATCCGTGCTCCTGTTACTCAACTTCATGTTTTTTAGAATATACCTAAGTCCTAAGTCAAAAGTCGACCCAGGTTGGAACGCACCAAGCTCTCT